GAATTGGCAACTGTGACATTCTCTATCATTGGTTTCAAATTTATCTACTCAAATGTACCAATTGCATTCAAAATTAATGTCACCACCTTCATGAATAATATGTCCAAAGCACATTTTAAGAAGGGCAAAATAGATTTTTTTTTAAAAAAAATCCCATTTTGCAATACTAATAATTATTAACTAAATTTTGCTGAATGACATAGGTTTGACTGGCTAGTTTTTAATTGTTTTAACAATATTTCTCAGTGTTGCTGAGATTGGAAATGAATTACTACATCAACTGTAGGTATCTCACTTATTTTTACTTTTAAAAAGAAAACAACATCAACACATCTTACATTATGCTTATATTTGTATGTTATTAAACTAGTACACTCAGACTGAAATTTTAGATGTTGCCCTTTTCATGTACCAAGTAACCCGGTCCCCTAGGGAGCATTACGTTAACTAGGCTCTTTAATACCTGCTGAAAAATTCCAAGTGACATTAGAAGAGTGATTTGCAACGTTTTGCTTCCTCTCCTGTAACATACACCAGCAAGTTTATTGCACTAAATTTCATCGGTTAAGAGCTGTCATCAGAGCCAGATGTCAAAAACATCTCAGGCTGCCATCTTGAGGCTGTGAGAGCATGTACTTACCTCCATCTGCCTCAGTGGGTCTTAACAGCACGAATTTAAGCACCAGTGTAGCTGGGCGATTTTGGATCCTGAACTGAGGGAGCGAGGAGGCTTTTTAAATGGCATGGCTCCTTGTTTTAGTTCACTAACTTCAAAGTAAGCCAGACTTGCTCTGTTTGGTGATGATGCTCCAGCTCATTCAGCTGGATGATGCTCTGGACTTCTGCCCCAAAGTAGGATCCAGATAGACCAAATGATGTTGTACATGCCGATTCAAAACTAAAAGCTAAGAAATTCACCAGGTCTTACTTCCAGGTAAATTGGTGGTTGCAATCTGACTGCTCCCACTGACAGGATTTATTCGGAGTAAATTTACTCCTGCAGGATTTACTCAGAAGAAAATTCCAAGTTGCGGAGGCATTAGCGCTTTAGAGAGAAGGAGGGAGGACCCAGATATTTCATTGGTTACACAGGTCAGTTTAGCGCAGAGATATATATGAGTTTGGGGAAATAGAAAAAAAAGCACACTCAGTGAGATTCGAAGATGTGTTTATCTTATTTCCCAAGACACTATTTAAAAATAATCCCAATCCAGTCCTCCTCAAACTGATGTTCGTCTATGCACATTTTAAAAAGGAAGTGTCATACAGGGCCCACTGTTAAATCCTCTTTCTGCTTGGCCTGTTAAAGAGGCAGGGCAACAGTTCACAAGTCATACAGCGACCTTGTAAGGAAGACTGGACAGACACTGCTACTCGTCCAGCGACTGGAAATTCAATGCTCTGGCCCCTCCATCACTCCCCCCCCCCTCGGTTCCAGGTCCTCCTCGGGGTCGCTTTGAATCCGACTCTTCGGCAGAAGGGGCAGTAGGACTTCAGAGACGTTGCGTCCTCCGCAGCCTGCAGCCTTCTTCAACACCCGTCATGTCATTGAAGGCTCAGATGAACCCAAGCGCCGATTCAGCCACGTATCATCCCCTATCGCTGGCTTTAGACGTAGGTTCGTACGGTTCTTAAGAAGGCTCATAATCCCACCAAATTGGTAGGAAGGCACTTGCTTTATACAGAAGGGTTCGCACCGAACTTCAGAATGGAAGGGCTGTAAAACGCTTTGCACCTGAAGTCATGAAGGAGCGTGGTGTTAAGGATTAAGCTGCTGGGGAAATTTAGGATTCAGTCCACGCTCAGCCACAGGAGTCTCCCGGCCACCCTGAGTCAGTCACTCTCTTTCATCCCAATCTCCTTTTACATCTGATAAGAAGCTGGTGGCAATTTAAGAGAGTAGCAGGTTTATTCTCACATAAACTTCGGTGGAGTAGCTGCCACAAGACCCGCTTGCTCCTCTGAAAATATGTTTCTGCAACATGAAGATCTTCCTGCAAGTGCTTGTACTGGGCTCAGTGAAGTTTAGGGAAGGAGGAGGGATTCGCTTGTCTGTGGCTGCTCCTTGGATTCCCCTAAAACGCACCCGGCAAGAGTGAAGCTGGGTGAACAGAATCCTGCCAAGTGCGCCTGCAGGATCTCTGGCGAGCAAGTTGAGGGGCCGGAAAGCGTCTCATTCCAATAGAACGTGAGAGCCAATAGAAAGAATATGCCCCGTGGAGGCTTTAGGAGGCATGCAGAAATAGCAAAGTGCATTTCAGGATTTGGAAGAACACGTGAAAAGTGCCCCTCCTTCCCAGTGTTGGCACCCCTGGGGTGGCTGATGGCTGACTCTTTGAGGAGAGTTGTGAAGTTTTAGGTTTAGTAATGCATGAGATTAGGGACCCTCTTTCCAGAAATGCTGTCCGCACAAGATTAGTCTTTGAGCCCACAGAGATGGGAGCGGACCCAGGATGCGGGCAGAATCGCCCTCTGTGAAAAGCAGTTCAAGGCTAAAGGCTGGAAACGGAAGAGGACAGAACAGATCTTTTACGTCGCCTTCCATTCATTCAGCCCAGCTGTTTGGGGCAGCGAGGTTACTGTGTGTTGGTGGAGAACATGGAGCATCCACGAGGGAAAACTCCTGAACGGTTCGAGAACTATATTAAACTGCTGGAAAGCCCCGATTATCCTTTTGCTTTGGAATTTGGCCCGTCTGAGCAGCACAGTCTGGCGGCAAACTCAGATTGAAGGAAGAAACTGGTTCCTTTTTAAAGACCACTCTCTTTCCATCCCCCTTTCCTGTGACAGCGCCATCAGATCCTCTTCTCCCCCCACCCTTCGCCCCAGGTTGGCCAGCTGAGGATTAGTCCCACAGGCTTCTCCCTGTATCCATTTAACTTGATGCTGACCGCCAACCTGGACAGCTTTAGACAAATTCATGGTCAATGAGGGTACTGATGGCTACCAGGTGGTTTGTGTGTAGCCTCCCTTATGGAAGAGTGTGTTTATGTAACTATGTTGACTCATAGCCATCCCTAAAAACTGTATGCTTCTGTAGGCCTGCAGCAGATGGCAGCACCCACCTTGAAAGGTCAGACTTGGTTAGTAGGTGGATGGGAGACCACCAGGAGCTCTTAAGGCTGTAGATTAGACCAGGAAATGAATGAATGAATGAATGAATGAATGAATGAATGAATGAATAAATAAATAAATAAATAAGCAACAATCTCTCGGAAAAAATCAATGGCAAATCACTTCCATGCTGTGCGCCAAGCAAACTGTGTAGAAGTTTCCATGCAGTCACCAGGAATCCAGCTTGATTCCAGACAGTATAACACCCCAGTTTTTTGGAGAAAGCCAGAAGCAGGACGAGGTGGAGAAAAAGTGGGACTAGACTGGCCTTGCTGGTCTGATCCCACGTGATGTTTTAGGGAGTTCACCAAAGCATTTTGACCCTTAGCTCTGGCGTGTTCCAGAATTAACTTGTCAGGCCCCCATTATTGGAGGTAGTGTCGCTGCGCTCAGGCGTGCCCGTGAAAAAGATTTCGGGACAGCTGCAGCCCAGTCGCTTGGCGGCAGGTGAGCCGACCTAGCTCCTTTCTTACTACCAGGACCTTCACCAACCAACTCGGAACCCGTCCAGCCGGGTGGCTGAGCTGAAAGGCTTTACGGTGAACCACATGCTTGTTTCGAGGTGGCGCAGCGAAGTTCGGAAAGCAACCCACTGGGAACTGAGGCAGATTTGAGAATGTATTTGGGGGAAAGGCTGATCTTTGGCTCCTAGTTTAAATCAGGTGAGACTGAACATCTCAAGGGGCCTCTGACCAAGGTTAGGTGCCCTCTCCATCTTCTGTAAGCGAAGAGGTGGCTGAGGGTTTCCACAGGGGTTCACAGTAGTTTCCACAGGGGTTCACAGTAGTTTTCACAGGTAGTT